AGGGAAGAACTTGCTCAGCATTTCTCAAGCTGAAGTAACTAAAGAACAATTTCAATCCACGACTTGCGATACTGAAAGATGCTATGGGAAAAATCTTGAAAGATCCAGGAAGAGTCAAAAGAAGAAGGAATACATAGAATAACTGTGTCAAAAAGAATTGGTTAACACAGAACCATGTCAGGAAGTAACATATGATCAAGAAGTAATACTAATAAAGGATACATTTCAAGTTACTCTGAAGGAATTTGCAAAAAAAAGAGAAAAATTAATTTCCCCGTAATTGATAGAAAAAGGAGCTCTAGTGGTCTAGTGTTAAAAAAAAGCTTCGTTGCCACCCAAATGTTGTTGTTGTTAGGTGCCATTGAGTCAAGTATGAGTTTTGGTGATTTAATTGTGCTAATACGAAACCTATACTTGGACCAAGAGGCAGTAGTCAGAACAGAGCAGGGTAACACTGCATGGTTCAAAATTGGGAAGGGTGTACGCCAGGGATGCATCCTGTCTCCATACCTTTTCAACATGTATGCAGAACAGATTATCCGAGAGGCTGGGCTCTATGAGGAGAATTGTGGCATCAGGATTGGTGGAAGGTCTATTAACAATCTCCGTTATGCAGATGACACAACCCTGCTTGCTGAAACTGAGGAGGACCTCATGCACTTGCTGCGAAGGGTCAAGGACTGCAGCCTTCAGTATGGACTAAGGCTCAACGTCAAGAAGACAAAGATTCTCGCCACTGGACCAATTGGCAGAGTCAGGATAGATGACGAAGAGATTGAAAGTGTTCACAGCTTCAGTTTGCTCGGCTCCACAGTCAACACTCTTGGTACCAGCAGTCAGGAAATCAAAAAGCGTATCGCGATGGGAAAGTCTGCCGTTAGGGACCTCTCAAATGTACTCAGGAGCAACAGTGTCTCTCTGGAGACTAAGGTGCGCCTGATACAGGCCATGGTATTTGCAATCGCTTGTTATGCATCAGAGAGTTGGACAATGACTAGGGAGGACAGAAGGAGAGTGGATGCTTTTGACCTGTGGTGCTGGAGAAGGGTACTAAATGTACCATGGACTGCCAGGAAAACAAACAGATTCATCTTGGAGAGGATTAAACCAAGCTACTCCTTGGAGGCAAGGATTCTGGGGCTTCATCTGACATACTTTGGACATGTTGCCATGAGAGACGGGTCCTTGGAGAGGGACATCATGCTTGCGAGGGTGGAGGGACAGAGCAGGAGGGGAAGACCCTCTATGAGATGGATTGATTTGGTGACTGGGGTAATCGGGATGGGTGTGTCAGATGCGGTGTGGTTGGCGCAGGATAGAGCAGGGTTTAGAGCTGTTGTGCATAGGGTCGCTATGAGTCGGAAACGACTCGATGACACATAACAACAACAACAACAATGTATGTATAAATCATCTGAACCCTATTCTTTCCCTGCACCATCCTCACACTTCCTGACACACAAGAATCAATTGTAGCAGTCACTGTGTCAATCCACATGGTTGAGGGTCTTCTTCTCCTTTGCTCACTCTCCTCCCTTCTGAGCATCATGTCCTTCTCCAGCTCCTCCTAGCAATATGCCCACTCCTGCCTCCAAAGAGCACTCTGGGTGCAGCATCTCCAAGATACAATTGTTTGTTCTTTTGACTGGCTGTGGGATGTTCAATTCTCTTCTCCAACACCACAGCTCAAAGATGTCAATTCTTCATCTGTCATCCTCATTCATTGTCTAGATCTCTGACACATTGCAAGTAATCGGAAAGACTATGGCCTGAATCAAGCACACCTTAGTCCTCAAACTGACATCATTACTCCTCAATAATTTGGAGAGCTCCCTAACTACAGATTTTCCCAGTACAATTTCCTTACTGCTGGCATCAAGGGTGTTAATTGTGGATTCAACAACAACAACTTGTGGAAAATCAATTGACATATTTTAATAAACAGATGCAGTCCTGTATACGCTCACATGTGCCAAGAAATCTAGGGGCTAGCTATCTGGCTGACTGCCTGGAAGAGAATCATATTATGCCTATTCTCAAAAAAGATGACCCAACAGAATGTGAAAATGATCAAGCAATATAATTAATATCACATACAAGCAAAATTTTGATAAAGATTAACCAAAGAAGGACTAAAGCGTCCAGAAATACAATCTGGGTTGATAAGAGGCCATGGCACCAGGGATATCATTGCTGAAGTCAAATGAATTTTGGCTGAAAGCAGACCAGAAGGATGTCTATTTGTGTTTCATCAACTATACAAAAACATTTGACTGTGTGGATCACAATAAATTGTAGTTAACAATGAGAAGAATGGAAATCCCAGAACACTTGATTGTATTCTTGTGAAACCTCTTTATAGACCAAGAAAGTGTGGTCTAAGCAGAACAAGGGAACACTGTATGATTCAAAATTAAGAAAGAACATATTCTTTCTCTATATTCTTCCAATATATATGTTGAACAGCTCATTTGAGAGGCTGAATTTTATGGAGAAGAATGTGGCATCAAGATTGTAGGAATACCCATCAATAATCTGTGTTATGCAGATGACACAGCCTCACTCGTCAAAACTGAGGAAGACTTGATGCATTTGCTATAGGAGATCATGGATTGCAACCTTCAATATGAATTGGGTCTGAACATCAAGTAAATGGAGATCCTCACCACTGGGCCAATAGGCAGCATAATGATGTTGTTGTTGTTAAGTGCCGTTGAGTCGCATAGAGACCCTATGAAGGAGAGTCCTCGATGCTTGGGTGCCTTTCATCCTCTCTCCAGGTTCATAGGGTTTCCAGAGGCAAGCTATTATGTAAGTGGACGCCACTCCTCCTTCCAAAGCATAATGATAGATGGAGAAAAGATAGAAGTTTTTAATGACTTCTTTTTGTTTGGATCAATAATAAACACTCTTGACAGTACCAGTCAGAAAATCAAAAGCTGAGTTGCAGTGGAAAAATCTGCTATCAGGGACCTCTTCAGAGTACTAAAGAGCAATGATGTCAGTCTGAAAACTAAGATAAGCCTGCCCCAAGCCATGATCTTCTCAATTGCTCTCAAATGCTTCTGAGAGCTGGACAATGACTAAGGATGACAGAAGAGTCTGTATTTAGAGCTATGGTGCTGGAGAAGTGTATTGAACATACCAGAAACTATCAAAAGAACAAAAAAGGGTTGTCCTGGAAGGAGTGAAACCAGGAAATTCTTGGAGGCAAGGATTTTGCAGCTGTTTCACATAGTTTGGGCATGTTGTCAAGAGGGATGAGTGTTTGGAAAAGGATAGAGCAGGAGAGGAAAATCCTGGATGAGATGGATTGACATAGTGATTATGGCAATAGGGTCAGACATGTTAGGGAAAGTGCAGTTACCTCAGCATAGGGAAAAGTTCAGAGCAATTGTTTATAAGGTGGCTTTGAGCCACAGTTGACTCAAAGGCACATGAGAACAATATTCAGCCATCTCAATAAACTTCATTTGCCTTTATTTTAACAGAATCTATGATGTTATTGTATGACAGTGTGCTTTCTGAACAATATGCTAATTCCAGAAAAACTTGAGGCAGTTTTTAGTATTTGATCGCACACGAAACAAAAAGAGTCACACATCAAAGAAAGATGGCAGACCATTAGAGAACTGTATGTATTAAATCTCTCCATGCCTATTTTTCAAATAGAGTGTTGCAGTCATGAAAGTAATTGGAATAAATACATTGTATGTAGTAAAGACATGCTTTTATGAAATTTTAATTTCAGTTATATACTTTGGCATGTGTTATAAGTATATTTGTGTTTTTATTTGTTTTAAATAAAGAGGTTGGAAGCTAATGTATTAAGTTGTTCTTCTTGTTTCATGCCAGTTTGAGTTGCTTCCAAGTCATAGCGATTCTGTGTTCAAAAAGAAGAAAGCTTCCCCTTGCTGCACCATAATCTGAATTTCTTTTGTGCTTAAATTCAATATCGCAGTTACTATGTCAATCCATTCAGTTTTGAGCTACCGATAGTAAACTGCTCCTTGTTCCTTGTGAAAAATGGAAAGATTTCAGTTTTTTAAAAAAAGTCTTTATTGACTATTTACTACTTTTTTTTTTTGTCTGGCATTCTTCTATATGAATTAAGTGTCCATTCTCTTTTCTCTTCCCTGACCCTGATATTTTAAGTACCTCATAAACTGAATATGTTGTACTGTAAAACAGGTAGGCCCTGACAATGCTAAGCTTTCCGCCTTCTTGGAGCCTCTGATAGTAGTAGCTTGGGAGGAGTCATCTAAGCCAGCTGCCATTAGGTAGTAAATGTAAATGCCTAAAAAGAGTGAACTTGAGCTTTCCTGAAGCCCCTAGGAATTCCCCCCCTTTTTTTTTAAAAAAAAAAAAAACAAACCAAACAACCCACATTACTTTTCTGGCTTTTTTTGATATTAAAAAAACCCACAAAACTACAAAATTTTGCATCAGTATGTGCAGAGAGAACAGAAGGGGAAGGTGGACGCTTTAGCAAAGGGATGTTGAGCGTGGCATTTGGGGGTGTGTGATAAATTTTGTTTAGGATGGGCAAGGGAAGGGGGACATAAGTGCACAAGCCTATTTCCGGCTCACATTTCGTGAGTAAAGCGCTGAGTTGAACTTTTTTGTTGGAAAACAAGAAATGGAAGAGAGAGAGTGAGAATGTGTGTGTGAGTGTGTGTGTGTGTGTGTGTGTGTGTGTGTGTGTGTGTGTGTGTGCGCGCGCGCGCGCGAGATTGCGCGCGCGCCTGTGTACAAGGGGGTGGCCAAGAGCCCCCATTTTTTTTATATGAGTATCACTGTCCACATCTTTTTTGGTATTCAGAGCTGGGCAGGCTGGGCTCCAGGGTGCAGCGGACGCCTCCCAGTCCCCAGTCTGGGACATCCAGCAACAGCCACAACAACAGCACAGGACAAAGGGGCCGGCGTGGCAGAGCCTCGTGCAGCCCGGGCCCGCGGGCCCGAGAACGCGCGCTCCCTGAGCCGGGTCCCTCCTGCGGGGCGGGCAGCGCAGAGCCGAAGCGGGCCGCGGCCGCCGCGCCCGAAACACCCGGCTCCGGGCACTGTCCCCGCCTGGCTGGCCCAAAGCCGGCCTTCGCGGCTTTCACTCACTCTTTGACCCTCCGTCCACCGTGACACCCCCCGCCGCAGGTTGCGCTACTGTAGCCGCCGCCCGGCCGGCGCTCGCTCCTTTTCGGGCCACCACCAGCAGCGAGCGAAGCGCGGCGGGGCCGGCGGCATGGCTGTGTCCTGGAGGAGCTGGCTGGCCAACGAAGGGGTTAAACACCTCTGCCTGGTAGGATGGCGAGCAAGGGTCTCTTTGCGTTCTGTCTCTCCTGCAGAGATTTTTTAAAAATCCATCTCTGAGCGTGCGCGGATGGGAAGCTGGAAGTGGAAATCTTGCCACTAATTTGAACTTTAAAAAACTAACATAACTTCCTATACCTGGCGTTAATATCCATCCCCCTTTTTCTAAATCTGTGACTTTTCCTACATAATGATAGGAGAGCGGATGTGGAGGAAGTGGGAAGTGAACACAGTATTTTCTTAACCCTTTAAACATTTTCCCCTTCCTTACTTCTGCCCTGGATTGCTTTAATATTTTGTTAAAGCAACAAGTAACACTCCGGGACTTGGTGGGTACCACAAATTTTCTAGTCTCATTTTATATAGGAGCTCTGTGGCACATTTAACAGACCTGTTTGCAAGCCAGATATGAAATGTCAGGTGAAGGGATGCATTGAGATCAGGTTCCCGGTCCACCCCCAACCCCAGTGGCTTTCGGCTTGCTAGTGAATTGAGAACACTGACTTTCTGATTAAGATACCTTTGAAAGTACTTGTCCATCGAAACAATATTAGGTTTCTCTTCACCACACATTTTATTTTTAATTTTTATTTTCTCTCTCCCTTCGACTGTTTCAGTTCACCTGGCTCGTCCTGAATGTCCTGCTTTTTGGAAGAACTTTTCTGCAGTATAACCAGTGGCCAGAGTATCACTACCTCCACCAGATGTTGGGGGTAAGTGTGGATTGGGCAGCCTGCTGGGATGGGCTTCACCTGGACTGCTCCAAGTCTTGGTCTTTCATCCATTCATTAAGGAAACATTTCTAAAGTGTTGGAAAGACAGTGTTTTGTGAAGTTTTCATTTTGGTTTGCTTTCTTGGGGTTTTTAATTTGCCAAGGGTTTTAAAAGACTGCAACAACTACAACATTTAAGCACTAAAATATGTTAAAAGACTCCTTGCTGCAGATTAAAAACTGACTCACAGCTGACCGTGCAGTGGGTGTTCAGAGGCTGTGAACAGAGCAGGAGGCATTACCCATCTTTCTCTCATGGGACTGCTGGCGAACAGCTTGCCTTTGGTTTAGGAACACAACTCTTTATGAAAGAACCGGCTCTCACAACTTATTGCCATGGAGTCAGAATCAACTTACAGCTGATGCTTGAGTGGGTTTTGGGAAAAAGATTGTTCCCTTGGAGCCGTTGGTAGATTTGAACCACCTGAGAAATTCCTCCTTCACATTAGCAGCACAGTTCACTGTGCACTGGGCCTTCAGAGCCGCTGAACCTGCAGTGCTTGGGAGGAATTACCACTTAAAGTTGCAGAGTGGCCTGCCGGATCCACTTCACCACAAGCACTGATGACAGGCTGTTAGTTTTCACTTAGCCACCTAGAAAGCTTGTCCATAGAATCTCTGCATTGTTTCATTTTTGCTGGCATTTCTCACCAAAATCTCTGATGGAGTTACTAATTCCTAGGCCTTTCTTCCCTGCTTTCCCTGAAGTTAGTGACTGTGTAGAGTTTTAGTGTTTTTTTCTCATGATAATGTTTAATGTGTTTCTTTTATTTATTTCTTGTTGAACTCTTCAGTGATTTTTCTGATCTCATGCTTCCTTCCATCCTGTTGTAGTTTGACTCCTTGACAAGAGAAGGCTTTGTGGAGGATCTGTTTTTGCAGGGAGATGGCTGTCTAAATAGAAATGCACTGTTTATTCAAATGGTTTAATGCCAAAAGTTATGAATGTGGTTGTGAGTCGTGGAGTTGGAATCAACTCAGAGCTGACCCTCCAGCAGGTTGTCAGAAGCTGAAATCACATGGGAGGAGATTGTCCATTTTTCTCCTGTGGAGCTGTTGGTGGATTCAAACCATGTGCCTTTGGGTTGACAGCGTAGCTCCTGACCATAGTTTAGAAGAACTCCAGTGGAACCAAGCACCTCTTTAATCTTTTATATGGATAGAACTTTTTCATCCGAAAACCATGCATAGTACCTGGCACATGTAAAACTTGCAATAAATAGCAGGTGCAGTCCTCTGCTTATTACATTGCTAAGTTAAAAGTGGCTCTCTCTGGTAGTTCAAATCCATCAGGCGTTCCATGGGAGAAAGATGGGCAAAGCTGTCTTTCTCTTTCATGTTCTGCAAGTTGATAGTGGGTCCTGTATTCCATGGAGAACTTAAAGTGTCTTGGCATCAGTGTTTCCCTTGATGTAGAAGATTCATGATGCAGTGACCCTGGGTCCAAAAGATGTGTTCTACTTCTAGCTTTTTTCCTTGGCGGTGCTGTGATCCCCTGCTTTCTGCTGGTTTCTACCAACCCTAAGAATAAGAGACTTGAACCCTGTTCTATAACTATTGTTGTTTCCCTAAATTCGTAGTTTCCAGATGCATGTTGTTTAGGAAGTGGATGCCACTCCTGCTTCCATATCTGTCTGAATCTGGGAGCTCCAGCAAACACTGTGCACCATAGGTAATTATTATGACATTTGACACACCTGTGGCAAACCCAAGTTACCTCAGTACAGCAAATTGACAGACAATTACTGTACCACTTCGAAGATAGTTTATTCCAAACACAAGTAACACCAGACCCAAGGGTCCAACGACTTTTAAATACATAGTCCCACTCACCAGGCCCTGATTGGCTCTAAACAAGAGGCTTCCAGCCCACAGCTCATTGTTAGCTAAACCCAGAAAGTCCAATTGGCTCATATAGATAGATATATACATAAATAGGTATATAGAGATATTTTGCTAGATGTAGTTGTAAATATAGAGATGACAACAGCAACAATAACACATGTATCAGTATGTGGTTCTGGTGGTCTGAGCTGGCAAGTCAGAATGGACTCAGCATACCCTTGGTGGGTTTTTAGAGGCTGAAAATTATATGAGAGGAAATTATTTCTCTTTCTTCCACTGAGAAGTTGGTGAATTTGAGCTGCCTGCCTTTGGTTGACAAAACAACTTCATATTTACGAGGCTATAACTAGGATTTTTCTTTTCTTTATGTTGAAGTGTAGCCCCTACTGAAGGCTATAGTCAGATGCTTATAAGTATTTCAAGGCCCCTTTCCTTTAGCAAGCAAAATTACATCATCTCCCTATTACAGGTTGCTAGTGTCTTCTACTGCTGATGATACCTTATTTTTCTTACTGTCCAGCATCTTATATTATTTGTTGAGCATACATATTGAGTAAATATGGTGACAGATACATTTTTCTTCATTTTAAACTATGTAGTATCCAGCCAGCTAGCAAACTGTAATAAACATCTGTACTTGTTTAATAGACACATAAAGAATAGAGAGACCTTACTTTGCTGCCAGGTTGCTTACAGTAAAAAGGAAAAAAACCCCTAACATGTCAATTATAATGCAGTAAATAAAAAATCCCAAACAAAAACCAGCTTACTCTGAAAGACACATGAAATTTGCTGCCATATCATTTTTATTTTACTTTACAAAAATACCCTGTTAGGTGTGAGTTAAGAAATAAGAGGTTTTACAGCGAGAAATGTATCTATTATACAACTGAAAAACTTGGAAAAAACTCTTTAAGAGTTGTGATGGTAACAGTTGCTCTTGATCAGGAGTTAAGAGTGTTAGTATAAAGTAGTGTGAGTATAAAGTCTAAGAATAGACAGCGTGGAAAGCCAGCTGTGAACATTGGATTTCAGCCTTGCAACATTGTGGAAGCTTAAATAATGTCATATTTAAAAGAAATAGTTAAGCTGGAAAAGAGGTTAACTTTATGAACTTGGATGCTGTATAACTGAACTTCAAATTTATTTGGTTACCATTCAGTGGAGATCTTGTACATATTGTTGTTAACTGAAAGATCAGCGGTTAAAACCCCCAGTTTCACTGTGGGGGGAAAAATAGGGAGTCTCCTCTTGTAAAGCTTTACAGCCTCAGAAACCAGATGGAGGATTACAAGGAGTCTAGATTGAATTTTCAGCCTTGAATTTAGGATATCAATCTGTCTTTAGTTCTTTCAACTTGAGAAATGTCAAGCAAGTTATTCTCCATTTATTCTCCAACTCTCACTCTTTGTATATTCCATTATAATACTTTGCTTTTTTCCCTTAAACTTCCTTTTAAAAATCTTCTGTTCCTCTCTTCTACCTCAGCCTCTCTTCTCTTGGTTTTGGTGTCTTGACACACTAGTGCAATTTTCAGTCTCTTTTGACATCCATTTTGGTCATTTCTTTCTCCTGTGTCTTTGTAATGACCTTTTGCTCTCTGCATGGATTATATCTTTATGTCATTCCACAACTCATCTGGTCTTCAGTACTTGATATGACCAGCCAAGAAGTCAAAAGACATGTTGGACTGGGAAATTCTGCTGCCAAGGACCTCTCCAAAATAGTAAGGAATAAAGATGTCAATTTAAAGACTAAAGCACACCTAATCAGGCCAGGTCTTTTTGGTTTCTTGTTATACATCTGAGAACTAGACAATGCATAGAGATGACAGAAGAAGAATTAATTCCTTTGAATTCTGGAGAAGTTCTGGAGAAGAGTACGGAATATCCTGTGTATTACAAAAAGAATGAACAGTGATTTCTCAATGAAGATTAGAATATAAAAAAGTCAGGAAGCAGTTATATTGGAAAAGAGGTTAATTTTATGATAAGCTGAAACATATACTGCCTTAGAAGAGAGATTACTTTCAATAATTTATGGAAAAGGAGCTCTGGTGCTGACGTTTGTAGGGGCCATGCCTTTCTTGTAGTTTGAATCTACTAGTGGCTTGCCTAAGGGAGATGAACAGCTTCCTCCCATGTATTTAAAGCCTTGGAAACTCACTGGAGGGTCAGCTGTGAGAAAGTTTAGATTCAAAGGCATTGAATGAGTTGTTGTTGTTCTTGTTATGTGC